GCGAGCGGCACACGCCAGCTGGCAGCGGCTGCCTGGCGTTCAGGCAAGCAGCATTTGGTTGCCACAAGGTACAGCTCTGACAAAGCTGAAGCAAGATAACACGATGGGGCAGTTTGGCTCTCTGCACAGATGCACATGCACGTAATAAAGGAGGTATATAGAACCAGTTCATGCCTTGGGACAGACAGAAATTCATTCTGGATGAGCCTCTGCTGCCCACTCCTCCTGCCTTTGGAAATTAGATTTTAGGGCAACTAGTAAATCGGTGTGTTTTCCTTGAAAATACACCCTGGTGAAACAAAAAAAAAAAAACACAACTTGTCTAAGACTGAAAATTGGTAGTGGTAGCCCAACACTAAAGAATACTTCCAATTTAGATGCAAAAAGTACTATTGTATTCCGGTTTCTGCTGAAATGCCTATTTTTAAAATACATTTCCTCTTCAAAAAACAAAATGCTGCTTCTGCTAATGTGAAGATTTTTAGAAACAGATAATCAGCAACACTCAACTACTCTCAAAAGTGGAAGTGCACAAATTAACTTTCTTCCAAGTTTCAAAAACCGAAGTGGGGCTTTTAACTACAGGTAAACATTTTAACAAATACGGGCAGCTTTCCAAAAACCTAGAGAGGCTGAGGACAAGAGAAACACGACACGTTTGTCTTACAGATGTCAATCCACTGTCTTCCCAATTTCAGGATTTTCATGATGTTTTCTGGCGACTATCGAACGCGCACAGACCCTGTAACATTGACTCCCAGAAAGTTTTCCCTCAAAACCATAGCAGGTAAAAAAAACCACAACCAACAATCTGCAAGGATCTTGATGCAGACATTGCTGAGACATCCAGGTAAAGTAGTCTTCACGATGGATCGGGGGAAGTGTGGCAGAGTTGCAATCTGCATCAAGGTGATAAGCCCCTCACGACAAATTCTGACCCCAGTCACAGCAACATGGCAGGGGTTACCTTGGACGTTATCACAGGGAGGTTTCACATTCATATTAAGAGTCAGTTTTCCTGCCCACATACATGCTTATCTCTGGTTTGCGAAGCTCTTTGCCATTGCTCAATTTTCCCAGGGTAGGAATTTGGCTGGACCTGTCGGTGTTCCTCCTCCTTCCAGGGATGCACTTTGTGGTGTTCCTCCTCCCTTCAGTGATTCACCTTGTAGCTCTCAGCACAATTGTTATCTGCTTCAAATCCCGGCTTCACTCAGTGCTGGCAGCCCTGGAGCAGCCCGTTATGGATCAAAAGGTTCAGAAATATGGAAACTAGCAGCTGTGACAAACTGGGTCAAAGTAAAAATCCAGCATTACCATTTCAGGGATGGGCTTCTTTCCACAGGCGTAAACTAGAACATGTAGTAATCGTCTGCTGTGAACCAGAAACTTCACATCAAGTGACTTAAGTGCACAGGCATCCAGGAGATGCTGTGAGCTCCACCACTGCATCCGATTTTCAAAGGAAATCCAGGAATGGATTTTTCACTTTTATCTGCATTGGCCTCCGGCATCTGAATGAAATACACTTAGGCTAGGTCTGTCCACTCTTGGTCTTATACTTAACACATACTTGCCAAGATGCCAAAATATGTGAATACTATTATCTGTCTTCAATCTGAAACACTCTGCATAGTGTGAACTCAGCATTATTAAAAGCCTCCAACCCCACATTTCTTTAATCAAGAACAGATTTTGGGGTAGTCTCTGACAAAACCTGTCTTCAGCAATTATCAGACATACAGTGACCCCTGCTTGCCAGTTACTCCAACTGTTAACGAAGACCTTGTCTCAACTCTCTTTTATTGGCTTCATCAATGCCAGAGGGACCTGTTACCAGGTAGCAATGGCCTAAGTGCGCAGGGCCAGGAAGGATTCCTCTTCCCTAAAAAGCTATGTGAGATGATTTCTACAGGACTGGTTGAACTGGAAAGCTCCAAGTTCCAGCTAAGAAGTTGTAACCGAACCATCTGCAGAAAACACAGGCAAGTAAATATACAGACATCAGTAGATGGAGACAAGTGGTATCATGTGGAAGCGAGCAGACATACTCACTTTTTCTGTGAATACTAGGTAATTAGGACAAAGGTAGTAGTCATATTCATTGGTCAGCATTTAAGTGTAGAGCCCTTCAAGATAAGTTAAAGCAGGACAAAGGAATGCTGCCCATGCTTTTTGTGCTGGAGACAGATATTTTGCTCAGTAACACAAAGTCAATTGCAAGAGGACGTTCAGGCCACGATGAGCAACAGAGAACTGTAATCCCTACCGAGCCAAGACCTCTGGATACCAGCTATCTGGTCCTTCTTCAGCATCAGCTTTTTGTGCCTTCCTAATTGCTAGATGCCACAATGCCGGCAGTCTCAAAGCTGTCCCACCAGGTTCTTAGATGTAGGTCAACATGAGGCTACCTTGGAACTGCAAATCCCACTTTGAGGGCACCATCATTGTTCTTCATGACAACGACAAGCACTGCCAAGGCCAAGAGCATAGTGTCCGTCCATACTAGTCTGAGAACCATTCATCTTCGGAGTCACTGCTGAACTCCATGGCAGTCAGCTTGCAAATCCGTACTGGAGAACACAGTATTTAGTCTAAACAATCAAGCAATAAATGAAAGTTTTGAAAGGTGAAGAGAGAAAACACTCCTATAGCTTTAAGTTTATTAAACCTAGCATGGTTAAAAAGCAAAAGACAAAACCCATGATATATTTTTGTTTATTATTGCTCTTGAAGGGCTTGGTAGTCAAATATACAAGCTATGTTCTATTAAACCAGAAGAAAATAAGATATAAAAATCTATGCTCACTTTTCCAATCCAAGCCACCTACTAATCTTCATTAGTGACATTAACTTCAGCTATTTCCAGTCATTTCAATTTATACATACTCTGTGTGCGTGTGCACGCGCATGTGTATAAAACCCCTATTTGAGGAGATAAAATTCAGTACGAAGAGATTTGTGTTGGTTTTGTAGTGTTTTGTGCATTGCTGTATGTTTCAGTTTTCCAAATGGCTACTGATATGCCTGTTTAGAAGAGCAAAATTTAAGTAACTGATAATGTATTTATTATATTTTCAAAAAGAAAGCATGACCAATAAGTTATGATAAAAAAATATGAAATGTTGATTATTCTCCCCTTGATGTACATGCACTAATCCCATGATTCCTAATAGGGAGTTACATGCGCTAAGAGAAGAAAAGAATCCTGTAAAGAGAAAGGCTATTAATTCCCTTCTCCTTTAAGCATCTCCCCTCTTCTCAGCATTACGAAGGGATTTATTTTGTGAAATTCTTGTCATGCCCATTAATATACTGCTCAAAATATAAGCATAAAACATAGTCAATGGTCAGCCTGCTTTGCAAGCCTCACTCTACTAAGCCAGTACAATTTATATATACCCAATATCATCTTCAGGAAGCAAGAATACAGCATTTGTAACATCCTTCTAAGAATTATATCCATTACTCAATTACTTAAGGAAAAAAAGAAGATTAAAGAAAAGAAAGAAAAACCCACTGCTTTTAGTCCTCTGGTTAAAAGACAGGGAGAAGTCAGAGAGTTGTCTTTATCAGCATTTGCAAGTCTAACCATATTTAAAGACGAAATATAAAAACCTCCAGCAAGGAAAACAAGAGTCATAGCTAGACTCTGTTCTCCTCAACTCCCAAAGCATATTCCAAATTCCACTAACATTAACAACAGTTTTGCATTCCCTATCTTAGGGAAGATTTATTGAGGGGACAAAGATGACATACTAGTGCTGGGGCTGTGGGTACAATGATTTCAGTGAGGATGAGTCTAACAGGAGATAGACAACGTAGATCATTCTTCAAATCCCCTTGTTGAAAAGACCACCAATAAAAATCAAGTGCATGACAGAACAGTGATTAATGACCCCGAGTAAAATATTTTTCTAAGTTACAAAATTGCTCTTCCAGAGTTTGAAAACAGAAGAACCTGTGGGAGAAGAGGTTACATTCCAACAGTTAGAGCAAATATGAAAAGAAGGTAAATTATTACTTGCTTATCTTGGTTACTAGAGCAAAGATGAAAATAACGACCAGTGCTTTGATAAGATTTGCTGTTTACAAAAGTGAGATAAATATTCTAGTGGCATCTGGGTTAAAAATACAGACACTGAGGGTCAGATTCTGCCCTCAGCTGTAGATCTGCAACCCATTTCACCAACTTCTGAGCGTAGCCAAATGCAGATTGTGGCCTTCATACTTGAACATACAGGTAGTTTCCATCCATTTGCAAATAATTCTCCAGCAATCTACAAAGAACTCCAAATGTGCGTTTGTAAAAAAGAAAGGAGGGAAAAAAACAAACAAACAAAAAAAAGAGACAGGTACAGCCATGATTCTGATCTCTAATTTTCAGTGAAAAAAACCCAAAGGTCAACAAGCAAAACTAAAGATACTTAAAATCCCTGAAGAGACTCCATACTCTTTCTAATGCTTAACAGCACAGCTCACCTTGCAATATACTTCACATTAACATCTAAAGCACAACCAAGTAGAAAAGTGCAGCACACCCTATCATTACAGCACACAAGGTAAGATCCTGGCCCCAGATGAATCAATGTCGAAACTCTCATTAAAAGTTCAAGAGATTCCAGTATTTGAAATCTGATTGCTACAGACCGCTCCTTTTCAAATTCTTGTAAAAGACAACATTTTGAAAACTATTGTGCTGGTTTCTGCTGCTACCTCCCAGTTCACTAAGTGAGGTTGGCTGAACTGGAGTTTGGTGATGAGAGACGTGAACAGAAATAAAAGGAGAAAATGGAAAATTGAATAAATTTCCTTCTTTGCACAACTCCAAATCCCACAGTCAGCATTAATTCAGAAAACAAGCCCACACAGATTCAAGATTCTCATACCTGTATGATGTGAAATAGGGCAAACGACACTCAAGACTGACGTAATATTTTGAAATTAAACAGTCTTGAGCAGTTAGCAGGAGATATGATGAGAATTTTTATGTTGTTTTAATACTAGTGGATCTGTTCTATGGCATGTGCTGAGCAATAACACACTGCTTCCAAACTCCACTATCCATTCTCTCACTTTACAAAAGTTTTAAGATGTTGCCTGAAAACAAAAAGTATCAGTGTAACATACAAATAGGATTTCATCTGTAGCCATGACAACACAGCCTTTCTAAAACGACTCTAACCCAACGAACATCTGTCAATTAATTAAAGAAGGGTTGTTTTTTCCTGGCTCATTAATAAAAAAAGTTGGAAATCAACAAACATTACGTTGGCTTTAGCAAGAGGAAACATTCAATGGCTCCTGTAGTAAAAGTGAGTGTAGTGCTCGACAGAAACCAGTGTATTCAGTCATCTGAAGATGCATGTGGCCATGGCCAATGCCCTCTCTTCTCCCCCACCACCAAGTCCCCCAACAAAGCAAGAAAAGTTAAGTTTCTTCTTCCACCCCACCCGAGATTTTCTCCCATAGTTTGACTACAGTAATCCTTAAACAGGCAGAAAGTTGATGTGTCTCTTCAGTTGATGCCTCCAACTTCTTCATTCTTGGCTCAAGTTTTATTCATTAATATTAGTCATCAGTTATTAAGAAAAAGATAGTTTCTAAGTGTTTGTTGTTGGTTTTTAATTGAAGTTAATCAGATTCCATAGTCTGGTCATATGTGCTGAACTGCAGCTGTCAGTTATTCCTTTTTCTTGAATTCTTGGTTGCCATAGCTGGAGCCTTTTTCTATTTCAGTTACTCCTATCAGTCTACGAACTCCAAAGGAAGCTTTAAAATATAACAGAGAAATGGGAGGCGCATTAAAAACAGATCAAGAATTTAGGAAGTTATACACAAACACACAAGCAGAACAAACATGAGTTAACCCAATTCTGAAGACAGAGTGACCACAGACCTACAGTGCGCTGTATGAGGCTGCACGTGGATTACAGGTCAGACATTGGTAAAAGAGGAGGACAATCCAGATTTAAAAATATAATTAATGCTTCTGTGTTGATTAACAGAACAGACAGTATGCACACTGAAGCATACCCACCCCCACCCCTTCCCACCTCCATTTGTTTTTGTTTTGGTTTTTTTTTTGTTGTTAGGGGTTTTGTTTGGGGTGGGGAGTTGAGGGTTTGAGGTTTTTGTATTTTTTTGGTTGGTTGGTTTTGTGTGTGTTTTGGTTTTGTTTAATTCACAGACAAGGTGTGCAGTAAAAGTATTTTCTCCTTCAGGCACCATCATAATGGGCTACAAGACTCACTTGCTATTGATTGCTATAGATGTTGCCCAAGATATGAAGGCAAACCTGCCTGGATTAAAGCTTTTGAAATACTAAAAATGCTACACAATATAAAGACTACAGAGTTAGCTCCAAGTACATTTCTGTAAGCCTCATTCATATTAATTAACACATAGAACTTATTGGAGGTAATGGATCCTTTTATGTGCCACTCTGGGCTTTGCATCTTCTCTGCTTTTATTACCTGCTCCAACAAGTCCCAGGAACGCAAGGATAAGGAGAGGTGATCCACTTGCAAAAACTCCAAAGCCGAATGTGAAGAGAGGAGAAAGGAGAACTGTGGCCCAAAAAAGAAAGTTTAGGAGAGTCCATGGTCTCCTACGAGGTTTAAACTGCTGGCCAGGAAATATGCCTTCCTGATTATACATCTCCTGCAAAGCATCCTGGGAGAAACAGAAGAGAAGAAAACATTATCATAATGCTTGCACCAAGCAATCCAAGACTAGTTGACTCCAGGCCAACGTCAAGGACAGCATCTGTGGTAAATATCCATCAAGAGTACACAGCATCCATTTTCATCCGCTGTCATTTATTCGGGCATTTCTGTTGACTACCGAGGCTACCGTATTAGCCCTTTGAAGGCGATCTTGGCCACCATCATAAACTGAAACCATATCAGCCTCTCCACTACCAAATACCTTCATCTCTTCTCTTAATTGCTTCAGAATTTAGGCCAGTGTGAGGCCAGAGCCTAATCAAGACAATACCTGCCTCTCTGCTGGTTGCTTTTTCTTCCCGTTTTTACTTCCAGAAAAGTCAGCGTGATTTAGCAAAGCACAGCAGAAAAATGCTGTGTATACAGCCAGAAGAGGAAGGCAAAGCATCAGCTAACCAGCAGAGACAGCACTGTGCTAGCCATAACCCCAAGACTTCAACAGAGCAGCTGCACCCTGAGCTGAGCCTGCAGAGAGACGCAATCATGAAACACATCACCCCCAGGAGCAGCATGCCCAGTCTTCCCTCAGTTTGTAAGAATGTTCTGTAAGGTTTCCAAGCCATTACCAAGGATGGCTCAAGTTTGGTTATTTCTTATTATTCCCACTTAAGCTATTTTTCTTTTAGCTTCCCTTATAAAGGGCTGAGAAGTGCAAGGCATTCCTTGCCAATAGCACAGCCTTTTGAGGACATACCCTCTGTGCGGGAAGAGCACTTTAAAGATTCCAGTTACAACATATTGCTACCATCATAAGATCAATATATAAAATATGTACATACATAAGCAATACCTGCTCAGCAACACCTCACAGCAAAGTTGAACGGTGGGACAGCCAACACCAGCAAGAAACACTGAACCCTCCATCTGCCAGCAAAGCAGAGCGTTCTGCCCAAGGAACGGCACCAAGCAGAGTGAATGCTCTGTGCTGCATCTGCTTAGCTCTGCATTTACTGTTCAACAAAGCAGGAGTCAAGTAGAGAAAGACTATCCCTGTAACATACATCTTAATGTCTGCTTCACCAGCCAGGCAACATCAGAAGGAATTCTTCTTGCATCTAAGAGCCTCTTCACAAGAGAATTACATGATGGCAAGTCCCTAATAGCAGAAGGAGGGATTCAAGGATCCTAAATTTATTTTTTTTTTTTTAAGCTCTCTAATCCCGTATTACACTAACTGACCCACAAGCCAGTTTGATACATCTGCTAATGGGAGATGGGAGGAGAAGATGATGATAGCTACTGCTCTTTGTATTATAACTTCCCCTTAATTGAATTAGAGCTTGGGTATTCAAAGAAACTAGGTTAAAACGAACAAAGTGAAACTCAGAACAATCTGCTGCCTACCTACAGGCTAAGCGTAAGCTTGGAAATGCTGCAGCACAGGTCACCGTAGCAGAAGAAAGCCCAAAATAGTTAAAGCTTCCATGCTCCTCTGTTTTCCCACAAAGATAAACAACACAAAGATGAAGACATGCATTTCAAGTTCAACAATCTACCAATTAGGGCTGGGCAACATTAATTACAGTTCTCTCCTCCTCCCCACAGAACTGTTAAATCTGTGGTTAAGAAAATAACCATCTAAAGTAAAAAAAAAAAAAAAAAAAAAAAAAAAAAAAAGAAATGAGGAAAAGCTTTGAGCCATTTGAAGGCATGTTGGCCTTGTGCTACATCAGTCCCTGGCAGCAGATCCCAGGGACTGTCTGCACTGTGTCACACACCACTGCAGAGGTATTACCAGGAGGCAGAAGGAAAGTGACAGTGGAAGAAACATGAAAACAAAGTACAATTGCAGCTAAGAGCCAGGACCAGCTGTCCCTGACATACAGTTATCACTCTTCTTGAGTGCCTAAAAACACCCACAGGGAAAACGAAGCTTTTAGAAATGTACGACGGAGAACCAAGAGCTGAAGAATACAAAAAGATGGTGGATTGCTATTAGTCTTCTGTAACTCAGGCACATCTCTGAATTCCACTGTGCTTCCCAGCAACTCGAGACCTACTCGCTAGCCAGCCCTCTGCAGCCAAGGAGCTCTTCTGTACTGTTCCTTCCAGCAGTTTGAGGGATGGCTGTCGATTATACATAATATTTCCATCTCTTCTCTCCATCCAGTAGAATAGTGTGCATTACTCACTGTCTTAATACACTACCCCTGTGAACGTCCCAAAAGACAGAAAAGAAAGCAGAGCTGTTTACCTTTTCCTGGTAAAGCTTATGAAGCCAGTTTGCAGCTTCCTTTTCATCTTGAGGGATATCTTCCAGAGGAAATCTCCTAGTTTAGTAGAGAGATTAAAAAAGGAGGAAAAAAAACCCAACAGAATTAAGGGAAAATCCAGGTATTTGACTTTAGACCTCTACTAGGGAAAACCTTCCATTCAGTGAAAGGTATAAGCTACAGGTAATACTGTCACTGATGGCACAGGTCTTAAATGCAGAGAACTGGGACTTAAACAAGACGCGATTCTCCACCTAAAACTCAGATTCCTAAGACAACAGAAACTGTCAATTCCTATCAATTTCAAAGCACCTTAGTGAAAGAAGTATTTCCCATTCAAACACTGTACTTCCTTCACTGAAATCGCCACTGGTTGATTCCCAGCAAGCTCAGACTGAGGCACCTAGAGCTGGAAAAAGACAAACAAGTGGCAAACCCCAGGATAATTGTTTGTTACATTTTGCTAGTGCAAACCCTATTTTGGAAGGAATGGGAGCAGTAGTTAAAAATTCACTTCATACCAACTCTAAGAAAAACATCATCATCTACAGCGACTGCACTTCTTTCTCCTTGCTTCTCAAGTCCTACAGATTGAGGCATGCAGTTCTGGATGCATACAAAAATTTACCCCTCCAGGTACTGACCTCACTGAGAACAGGCATCTTTTAAGAGCCTCTTTCTGGTGGTAAAGAGCCAGCCATTTTCCTGCATTCTTTCATTTTCTGAGATAGGCCACTAACATGCTCACAAAGGTATCATCTCCTTTCTCAGTAGCACACATCTCAGTCCTGGACCAATCCAGAAAGCAGCAACACTTGGACTGTATCAGAGCCCTCTTACAGCAGAGCAGTGAGAACGGAAAGGTGACCGCTTGGAGGGCTCTAGACACGCTGATCCCAGATACAGCTTATTTGCTGCTCTTCAAACTGGGCAATATATTTCTGCAGTATGAACTAAAGCTTTTGAGTCGGCAGCAGCAGAGGGAAGATATTCTAACACATTTCTAGTGATTTCTGCAGCCCATAAACAAATTGAACACCAGATTTTACAGATTTATTTTCAAAAACTCTAACAGGAGGAGCTGCTCAATTAATATAAATAGCACTCAATAAAAGCTCAGTAAAAAGTAATTTGCTGAAAGCTCTCTGGTGAAGTTGTCGCTGTGTCGCTCACCACTAGAGGGTACTCACAGCAATAACATTTGGTCATTTTGCTGATCATTTTTCTCTGGAGCCAGTCAGGAGAAAGACCGGATCCTGCAGGGAGCTAAGCTTCTTACCTCTGTGCAGGTAACTGCATACGCATATACCAAGAACAAAAGCTTACGTGCTTCCTTTCTCTGAGCTAAGCTGTCTGCTTGCACATTAAGGACACAATTTCCAGCAAAACAACTGTAAAAATAGTTTCCTTATTCTCAGAGCTTCCTCTCCAAAACAGAGAAAAGCTTCAAGTGTAGAAAAGCATCTTGAGAATGTTGATTCAGGCCACAAACAGATTTTAAATTGAAATTATCTGAACATAGTCAATAGCTTCTTTAATTGGGTACAATTTGTAATTTTACCTGGCAGCATCATCCTCAACAGAATTTTATGAACCCAAATCTCTTCTAATGACCATTGAAAACTGCCTTTCTGTTCTTTCCTCCTACTACCTCACCAATAAATAAAACCAACTTGCATCTCCTCTAGCAAGCCATAGGATATTTAACTGAAAGCAGCTGCTCTTCAATGTACAATTATACAGATGTACATCCACGTACCTATAACCCAGATCTAGCTAGACATGCTACATGCATGTGCCATCAGTATGGAATTACAAATAGCAACCACCTGACTAGCTGTTTTGGTAGCTGGTAAGCTGTCTGCTCACTTTCCTCATCAAGAATATGTCTGGCAAGTGTAAATAGTCAAAATCAAACCCCTTGCTAACAAGTAACTCCATCTCTATCCCCATCACCTCTGCAGCCGCCTTTTCAACTGAGAGACTAAAATGTTGTGGAAGTTGCAGTATCTGAGAACAGAACTGGAACATATGTCCTTCCCTTCCTCACTAGGGCTGGAGCACCCTGCCTCCCCTGGGATAGCATTTCTTCCACAAAACTGTTGCTGGTATACTTTGATACAATGGAGAATCAGTGTGATTCCCTACGAAGTCTTTCACCATTGGAGGCTCTGGCAAGACACACCTGCTTTCATTAGGAGGACAATGTATAGAGCCAGCACCATGCATCTGCAAAGCACAGACCCAAGGCCAGAGGGGAAAGGTGTGGGAGAAAGTAGCAAGGCTTTTGGTTTTGTGGTTTTTTTTTTTTTCTTTTAAAAACCAAATATCAACCTCATCACCAGAATGTAGCAATGTTTTCCAAAGTGTGAGTGAAGTCCCCAGAGAAGCAGAAGTGAACTGTCAAAAGAACTGTGGAAAGAACAACCAGGTCATCTGTCAGGTTCAAAGCGGGAAAAGAAGAAATTCAACAGGAAAAGGCCAGTAGTTTTTATGACCACGAGGAATATTTTAAAGCAGAAGGCAACAAGGAGAAAGCAAGAAAGAGAAAGCGTATGTGTGTGTACATCATGTGTATGTGCTGCATGGAGTTAGGTGTTAGCGGTTACTCTTTCAGGCAAAAGAGTAATGAGGAATGTGAGGAATGTACCACCTCATTCATACAATGTCTGAATTTCAGCATTATTTGACTTCTAATCTGCTAATCAAACCATGTGAGAGAAGGAGAGAAAGCAGCACAGTAAGGAGTTTTACACCATTTACTACAAGAGACTATTCATGTTGCACAGACTATTTATACTACGTGTATGCTCACAGGGGACTGGGAAGGGGGCAGAACAGTTGGTTTTCTGTTCCCAGCAGAGAAAGGAAAAATGTGGACTAGTGCCCTCACTGCACAAAACCTGGGGAAACCCTGTACCAACAATGTGGTCATACCCAGGCTTAAAAAGTCTGCCCACTGCTCTCCGACTTGCTGGGTGATATCATGGGATTTCACACATGAAGGCAAACTAAAGCAAAGGAGAAATGGGAAGGTCTTTGTAGCCTGCAGAGAAGCTTGAAGGACAAGGGGACTACAGCAAAGGACATATACTCCGTAAAATCTGGATATACTTCAACACACCAAAGCACACATCTTAGGGCTCACCTCAATCGTTATATGCTCACCTTACACACATATCCGCTTCATATTTTTTTCCATAAAGAATTCCTAATAGAGATGGGTTCTTGTTTCCTCTGAAATTTAGTGTTACATCATACACTGCTGAAACTGTTACAAAAAAGAAAACAGGGCTGTTATACCAGCAATTCTAGCAACCATGTTGCCGGCATCCTCGCATTAGACAGCACTCGGCGCCTTGTGCAAGCCTCGCGTTGCTGATGTCAGGTGCCAGAGTCCTTCACTACTTTGTGTTTACATCTTGTATTTGTCTGTATCAGACACCTGACATTCTCATCTATGTAGCATGTGTGTTATCAGAATATAAGACAACTTCATGAACTAAGCAACAACGACATACATGAAAAGTTTATTATTTTTTAAGACTGGTATCTGAGAGTTACATGGCACAAAGGAACAGCTGACATGCTGAATGCTTATTACTGCCAATTCACTAATTGTAATGGACATAACAAACAATAAAGTATATTACACTGTGCTACACAGAGTACACTAAACAACACGCTATGATTAATGCAAAGAACAAGTAGCAGCTTGGCAGTACCTGTTCCCCTGAGACACTGGACAGCAGTGGTGAAACCTTTGGTTCTGGGCAACAGGTGGTATTTGAGTTTAGGCAGCCCCTTGGATTCAGCTACCTCCATACTGATACGATGCTTGGTCTCTGTAAAACGAGTTCCTTCGCAGTACAGGAGAAACTAGTATAACGAGACAAAAGGCAAAAATAAGGACATCTGAAGATCAAAAGAAACCAAGCAGCATACTGAAAATTTGTGTAAGATAAACATACATCCGTGCATGTGCACACACTTTGTCTCATTTGATCAAGTATCAGGCAATTCATTTAGAATTGTATTTAATTTTAACAACACTGGTACCAAATTTAAGGTGACAAAAAGTCTGAATAGTTACACCTGAAACATTTACTTTAAAAAAGAAAAAGCCCTGAAGGCTTTGGTTGGCTGGTGATAGACTAATCTACAAATCAGAAAAAGCAATTCAAATATCAGTACATGACCACTTTAGGAAAAAAAAATATTAATCAGTAGCTACTTCATTTTAAAATTGTACTGTACAACCAGAATTACTCATCTGAAGACATACTTGTTTGAAAGCTTTTCTATTTTTTTTTTTGCGTTAGTATCAGTTGTGTTCACAAAAAAAATAGGGCCTTTCCCTAAAACGTTTACCTTGTTCATCTTGTAATGCACCAATCTGACTGTGGTATCCTAAGGAACTATTAAAGACTTAAATCCTCCTATACTGACTTCAGGCAGCACAAACATCAATCTGTCCACTCCAGTCTCTATATTGCCTCCACTTTAGTTGGGAGAGAGACCAGCAGCAATGCAAAGCCAAGAGCAGACAAACAAAGCCCTTCTGAGGGCCCTAAGGTGAATTTCTGTTTATCCTTGGCCTTTTTGAAAGGTGGGGATCATTCCCATTGCGCCAGCAATGGAAAACATTGCTGCGTTTGAATGCGCAAAAACCTGTACCCCTGGCAAGCAATCGAAACGTGCAACGCTGTTTACGCTGCAATTCAGAAGAAAGAGCTGTTGAATGCATCGCTATACATCTGCTACTCGTCAGTACTGTGGTTGCTTGACTTTCCCTCTGGAGCGTATCCACGTACTGTGCACCACAAAAGGTAAGTTAAATGAACGCTAAAACCGCCAAGTCACACAGGAGAGTTAGACCTGCCAGAGTGCAGCGAGAGAATGGGAGCTGGTCCTGCAATCTTCGTTTGGCCCTTGAGGGCACGTTCCTCACGAAAATCTGACCACCCAGCACCACTGAGCGGTGAGGACGGCACAAAGTACAGAGCATCACACCACCATCTCCACCCCAGTCTGCAATGCAAGCTCTTTCCTCTAAACCAAATTCTAACCCTCTTCTACCCAACGGCGCAGTGATCCTTCTGACCAAGCACGCGAGCGAGGTACAGGCTGTGCTGCGGCACACGTACGAGAAAGACCTCACGAAGGAAGGTTGCGCAGACAGCCCTAATTGCGGCATTTAGAACACACAAAAGTTAGGAAATTGATTTACTTGAGTCAATTTTAATCATGATTTAAATTACCAAGCAGGAAGTCTTGATTTAAATAATCAATGCTGACTACATTTTGCATTTATATTTTCTAGTTGTTTTCCCTAGGGACTAAGTCCTTGGTTCTCAATCGTAGGATCATTAAAATGTATAGATTTTACATTTTAGTAATGTAAGTACAGTCTTGAGATTTTTTTAATTGGCAGGGTTTTTTCTTTTTTTCCAACACTAATCAGGAGGATATATTAAATGTAGATGAGGCTTTGAGCAACCTGGTGTAGTGGAGGGTGTCCCTGCCCATGGCAGGGGGGTTGGAACTAGATGATCTTTCAGGTCCCTTCCAACCCTAACCATTCTATGATTCTATGATTCTATATCCATATATTCAAGCAATTAAGTAGTTTAAAATAAATTCTCCAGATTCTTATTTTTTATATCCTTGTAATGACAGAAAATCACAAATGACGGATTCACAATGTACTAGTTAAGGCTTACTATTTCACTATTCATTTTAACAAGCTGTACTGGATAATATTGAAAAACCACTTAAAATGCACAAAAAGCCTCTTAAAATGTTTTGTGAGACAAATAACTGTATGTTATATGCACTGCTATAAAAGCAAACCAGTAAATTAATGAAAAATTTGTTTTAGCTTTGAATGCAAATGTTAATAGGTTGATTATACCACTATATTGTTGCAGCAAAATCTAACAACATTGCACGTAATGAAACATAAATGTTTTACCCTTGACTTCAAACAATGTCAAAATAAAAAGGAAAAGCGTAACTGCAAAAGCAGATGTAAGCTTGCCAGATGTTCTTCTAGAGAATTTTTGGGAAACCTGTCATTTCACAGATCAATGAACATACTAACAAGAGCTTCCTATCAAAGTCCATGGTCTGTGCATCCCCCCCCCTCTCCAAGTTCACTCACTTGTCCAGAAAATACTTTTCTTTATGTGTCTTTTTAGTCTTCCTCAGAAAAATGTAACTTCAGGTTATATAGATTTAGGAGTCAAATATGGGCTGGGTTTTTTAAAGGTAAAAATAAACTCAGATAAAATTAACAAGTATTACAAAAGTGTAACTTATCAATTATCATCAAACTTCTTGTCATCTATGCAAGCTTCTGAACTGTTTCCCAAATGAATTCCCTTACCAACAGGCAAACACAGCAACACTTTACCAGCACATCCTAAAAGATCTCCTGAAATAAGAGCACAGGTTTTCCTTGACAACACTTGGAAGAAACTAGTGAGCAGACACTCTCCTGATATATAAGGCTACAGTACCACATGAGTATCTCCGTCATCATTTCACTTCTAGCAGTTAATACCAGAGGAGGAACTCAACACTTACCCACATATATTCAGGATAATCAGCCAAACGTTTTAATCCTTCAATAACTGTATCTCTGTCTTCTTCCCATTTCCTTTTGCAGAAAACAATCTCAAGGAAGTACCACGTCCAGCCAATTAGGGGCACATACAGCAGCTCTCTCTTAGCAAGAACTTTGGAACTCTTGGAGAAAAACAAAAAATAACAATCCAAAAATGTCATTTGCTGATTGATACAATGAGATCAAAAACAGACATTAAAGTTAAGATGACGAAGAGCTGATGGAGTTATATCTGGAAACTCAAATGCAAAAAAACTGTATGTGCATGGGTTTTAAACAGACCTATAGTCCACCAGATGAAGGGAAAGCTCATGGCCCCACATACCCCTAGCACTCCGAAGCGCTCTGTCATAGTCCAGCCGCATAAGAAGTCGATTTCAAAGTTGTGATTCAAGATGATGATGACGTGTTCTTTCCCAAAGGTGTTCACCGTGGCCTCGTCTGAGAACAAGGTGCACTCTGTGCCTGACCACCATTCCAGCAGCATTACCAACTCTGACAAACATGAAGATGGAGACATGAGTTAGGGGCCCCACTTACAGAAAGCACTTAGCGTTTCATCTCCAGCCCCATGCAGTGCCTAGTCTCTTCTGACTCCCAACAACAACATCACCTTATCAATCCAACCCCGTAGAGATGAAATGAGAGCTTAAGACAAGTATAGACCAAATAACATCACCATCCTTAAGCAGTACTTAGGGTACTAGACATATGCATTACAGAAAATTTAACAAGTTTTTAACAGTGACAAGTTTGGGCATTATATTACAAACGTGAACTTTGATGATCACTGGAAAAAAAACCCAAAACTTTATGCCTGAAAACAGACAGTTGAGCTGTTGATTGCTCCACTAAATGAGTACTGTTTCTCCCAGGTGGAATACAAATTATGCATAGATGCAGCCTAATGCTTTTACTCAACATGAAACAAGCTTTATGGAGGTAAACAGACCAATAAAGGGCTTTTAAAGGGATACAGTGCCATAGATCTTCTGCAATAGATTTTAATATTACAACACAGAACTCTAACTGTTCTGTTATGGTCATCAACACAACAGTCAGAAGCACCAGAGAATCAAGCTAATTTATCAAAATACCCAGGCAAAGTCAGGAATGGTAAATTGTATCTTTCTTTTACGGCAAGAGAAAGAACGAGCCCTTTCTCCTCTGTCTTCTCCAGCTTTTCAATATCCTAGCATCTCTCTTACTCCACCCTAAACATTTCCTTCATTACCCACTCTTCTCATTTTCCACCTCCCCTTTTTTCATCTCGAAAACCCCCTTCCACTTAAATTTAGCATGCAGTGAATGTAGTTGCTATGGTTAGTCTATTTCTCTCATTTCCGTGCAACCAGGCAGATGGAAGGCATTGCTTCTATCATGGGACAACTATAAAAAGTATGAGAATAGTTCATTCTCCCAGTGGGAAGATTTGCTTCCAAGCAAACTGTAGTCATTTGTATTTTCTCATTTCAATGAGATATGGATGCAATCAAAATCTGGTTGCACAAAAATGGCAGTTAAAAAGTCCTACTCTTCCCACATCACTATGACAAACTTGCAGGGTCGAAACTGGAAAGCGCCCCCTCGGTTCTCTACATCAGGTTCTGCCACGCAGTATTTTAGCTTTCCATTGAGAGACCCTAGTTTTGCAAAAGGGAGCAGCGCCTTCCTGCACAAGGGCTTCTGATCAGTGGGATCACAACAGGGTAATCTAGCCATACTGCACACCAGAGTGGGTCCAATTTTGGAACACATCAGAGAGAAGACAAACACAGTATTTGGGTGAATGATAGGGAAAACCAATCCTGGCCTGCTGAAGAGAAACAGCTTCTCTAGCACTAGTTTTTCTCACTTATATTCCCCATGTGACCACTTATCCTCCAGATTATTCCCCTGTATCGTTTTCAAGACTTAGTCATTTGGAGGCATGACAAAGTTATGCGACTTGCTGATTAAGACAGGGCAACCCTGGTAAACTGGAAATACAGCAATGGAAAGACATAATAGTTTATATCAACCAGGGGTTTCTATCATTGCTTTCCACTTTGTCTCCTTTGCAAATGATGTGACCACTTACCTTTCTTGCTCTGGTTTTCCTGGCTCAGTAAAAGGGGAAAGAGGACAGAAAAAGCGTCCTCAGTTGCAAGCTATGCTCTTCCAAGCAGGTGGTCAGGAGAATGGAGCAGTGGTACCAAAACCAGTACAGTACTCCGAGCAATTTTCCTTTTCCATTGCTGTCTATGTACTAAGGAGGAACATCTCCAGTACCTGCTCCAGTCGCTGCACTTTCTTATCAAAAATAAAACAAAACAGGTGTGTTTCTTCTTCAAAACCAGAAAAAAAAAATCTGCAGAGGCAGGTATGGATTATTTTCTGCAGAGCATTTCTTGTACCCTTCACTCTAAAATAGCAAAGGAAGCTTTGCTGAGAGATTTGCCAGAGTTCATAGTGAGAGAGGAGGGTTGATGAGCTGAAGAATTAATACAAGGAAACAGACTGTCCTTTACAAGCGTACTGATAAATGATGTAATTATAACCGGTAGTGGGCTCATTTCCCTTTTTTTTTTTTTGTGGAGGGGTTATAGCTATTTTGCACGGCACCAATCCTGCCGATGCTACTGCAAGCCCATCCTTCTGAACGAAGGGACAACACCACTCACGCTGCTCGGGATACTTCTGTAAAGGATAAGCAACATCTCACTACAACAAACCTCCTCCCGCAGCCGGGGTTCCCACACGCCAAAGCAGGCGGGTTCACGGCCTCGTAAACCAGCCAGGAAGCAAAGCAAACACGAGGCACAGCGCACCTCTCAATTTCAAGTACTGACATTTGAGAGATTATTTTCGCAACTGAACTAAACCAAATGTGCGGTGCTCTCCAAAGGCAGGAGTCATCTGAAAGGAGATGATGTAGGAGAGCTTGAAGTACAGACTATTTATTTGTCATGAGCTACATGCGCTGCAAAGGGTTGAGGCCAGAGCCCAACAGATGTTATTTCCCTAAACGTCTGCCATGAGCACCGGATAGAGTCTATCTGCCTTCCCTTCTGAAGCTGTGCTTTATACATTTAAAGATACAGAAAGAACAGAGCATGGTTTTCAGAAGGCTGTAGTACAACAGCCAGATGCACGATTACCTGTGTCTCTGCCCCTGCACACTGATCCTCTGCCGGATGGGCAGAGCAGCTTCTGTTGCAGACAGGCCCGACAAGAGCAACCTCAGCCTAAAGCTAAACAGCTTGGAGTAAGCAAGCAAAACATAGCATCCAGAACAGAACACCAACCTACAGGTTCATTGCCAAAAGGCTTCCACATAATGAAGTATATTTCATTATGAAAGGCAACATTTGAATGGCTGCATTTACACGGCTTACTTAATTCGTTATAAATCACAATTTAAGTGCATATTCTGTCAGCTCTTCCATTACAGGTCATCAGCACTGCAATCCCATAACATTTACATTAATTTTCACAGTTTAATATCTCAATTATTTAATTTATAATAGGCAATACACAAGGGGTTATCCTAGGTAAAACCCAATTATCTACTCAGCTTCTCCAAACCTTTTTGAACAGTAGTGTAGGTTACCTCCAGTGTATACAAGATAACGGCATTTAAAATCTGATTTTTCCATGCACAATGCTAACATGTAGAAATCAAGGGTCTGAACCTACAAAAGCCTTACAGGTACAAGCAGCTAATATCCTCAATAAAGCCAAACTATTAGTGCAACAATAGTTTTCAGGATAAGATCAGATTATAGATTTTTAAAGGCACATTAAGAAACTCTTACAATAAAAAAAAAAAAACACAAAAAAATATATACCCCCACTCCCTTCCAACCAAGCTAAGTTTCTACTTATAAGTTCTTCCATTACAATACCTTTTTTTCCTGACAGTTTGCCTACCACTCTCTCTTTAATTTCCTTTCTCCCGTGCTTCTCAGACAATGTTCTCAACAGATAGGGCAAAAAGCACAGGAAGGACAAGGACAACAAGCTTAAAAAGAAATCGAACTAGATACTTTGGAGAGTTTTTGTTGATAGTACTTCACATCGATGATTTAAAAGTGTGGGTGCCTGTCAGTGGACCACTCAACTGTAATTTAAGTACTCATTTAGGTGACTCATTTACCCAAAGTGGGAGTTGGATGCTGAGCTGAGCACTAAGGTAAGTGGCCATGCATACTGGGAGGGGATGGAGAGTGGAAACGAATCAGATGATTCATTGCTGAAACAGGAGGTGACATTTGGACTAAGGAGCCTTCTAAACATTCATTTCAGAAATGTAGTCCCCTGTTAAGCTGTACAAGGAGAAGAAAAAAGCCATCCACAGGAGGAAGTTTCGCAAAGGTCTGAAAGAGGCGAGCAAAGCAGCTGCACACACTGTAGAGCCATCCCACGGGCACAAGAGGAAAAGAGTGACAAATTGCTCACAAGAGGAGATACTGGCATCACAGATGGACACTGTAGGCTGTAAGAGGACTCTGAAGTTGTCACACAGTTCAGCTATAGTCATCTACACCAGAAACTAAGACAGACATCTCCATCTGCAGACCACACAGTCGACTTGGGCTCCTAAGTGGTCAGTATCGCACATATGCTGAGTACCTGAAGCAGTCTCTGTGAACCACCCTTCCACATCACTTTGCACAGACTGTAATGCTGGATGAAGATGGTATTGAGATAGAATGAGCAATTCCTACCAGCCAAGACAGGGGTAGGGAAGAGCTTTACTTCCCACTTTTCTGAATAACAGAGTGAAATATATATATCAGTTCCTTAACTTTGGTATGTTTTCCCAGTATTTCAGAAAAGATGTCTGCTTTGAATTGCTCTGAAAGTGTCTACGTTTAACTTACCACTTCTCTCTCTCTCTCATGTCTGTGTGTGTATACATATAGGTGCATACATATAGGTGTGTACATATATTTTTTTTTCTTTAACAAAAAGAGAAACAAAAACCACTCGCCTCCCCATCCCCAGCCCTCCCGTCCCCTTCAAGCATACTCACGGCTCCAAAGTGAATAGGCAAGGCGACAGTTTACTCGGCGATAAAACTGCTTGTTTATGGGCCAGAGGACTAGTGTGCATAGCTGAATGAAGTTAATGATCAGTCCACTCACAACAAAGACGAACCCAATGAGGAGGTGAACTATGAACTGGGTCTTCAGAAAGGCAATGAAGCCCATGATAACCACTCAGAAGCGCTTGCAAGGCCCGTCACTCAGAATAACTGTCCTGAAAGAGAAAGAAAAGAATCAAATGGAGACTGGATTTACAAGCCCTGAGGAAGGGCAAAGCAAGAGCCCTGAAATAGTTCGTGCAACTTCAGCGACATGAACCCAATCCAATAAACACCCCGCTCTCCAAGCCTGCCTCATTCAGGCCTTCATAGAATAAACCGTTGCTGGCGCAAATCTACTCCAAAAATAGGAAGGAATCATTATTTGCAATTTACAGCCCACTAAGAAGATTATTGTTTGCTGAAGATGAACCTCACACTTCTCTTCAAACAAAGATCATGTAATTGGACTTAATGGTGGGAGGAACACAGAGCCCTGCACTGACAGTGAAGCTGTCGAGCCCTGATCGGTAAACAAGCTGCACCATGACTGCTGTACCTTCAGGGGCTGCTGTCCCTGAACTGCAACAGGAGCCTCAGCCCCCTGCACCCAATAAATGGCATGCCGAGCCTCTGGACTCTTGTCAACGAACCGATGCCTTCCTGGCCTGCCTTCAAAGCCACCGCTCTGTACACACTTCTCCCGAACGAGCATTGAGCGAGGGCTGCTGGGGGCTACAGAGACTTTGTTATGTGTTTGCTTTGACTGGAAGAGTACAGCAGTCCATCTGGGGAGCAGGCTCTTCATCCTGCAGTGAATTTCAGGATGGAAAAGAGCAGGGCTGGTCACACAGAGCATTGGTCTGGCAAATATTAAGGTACGGAAATGGAAATTAGGTATTTCCACATTCAAAAACCATGCCGGAGGAAGTTTAGTAACTTCTCACTTTGTCAAGACACAGTTCCATGATCAAATACACCTGTTGGGGCAGGAGGAAGTAAGATAATAGAAAAACATCAGGCTATATGGCAGCACAAACTTGATTTGGAAAGGGCTTTGGCGCAGAATCTTGATTCCACCGAATTAGCCAGAGCACTTAACCTAGAGCACATGCCATATTTATATGGGGTGCAGAAAAATGGGTGATGTATGAACCAGCAGAAACTCACAGTAGCTTAGACAGACAAGTCTGATCCAATACAAATCCTGCCAGTACAAAGTTAGCCCAAGAAAATGCATTTAGTAAGTCACCAGATTGAATTTATTCCAAACTCTGCATTATATGGCACTGGCCTTTTTGACCTGTTGGGTATTAGAAGCCCTGCCACTAGGCCAATCAGAATGTCCAACCACAGCCTCAACATCTCACCCAAAAAATAAAAGCATGACCCTAATTTTCTGCCACAGCCAAACATGCTCTGTCTTTGCCAGCGTTGCAAATGAAGACAACAACCAGTAGATGGTAACAAATACTTTTGACAAGTCAAGCATCCAGAGGTGACATAGAAGTTCTCCATGTCCAAAAAATAAAGTATCTGACAGCTGTGAGGAACCAAACTATTTTCATTTGCCACCTGCTTACAGTGTGGTGCTATTTAAAAAAACTCAACAGCAATTTTATTTGTGAAAGCTTGTTTTCTACTGTTTTTTCTACAAGTTAGGTATTGCCTTTCAAGGCACAGAGCGTCTAGCTTTTGCACGATTAAAATCTATTTATATCATTAGTAATCTACCCATTCCAGATGCACATGACAGAGGGAAAAAAAAAAGTCTGCTTCGACAGAGCCACTATTATGCCCACATGTCTGAGGACTGCAAGTCTTACCAGTATTCATAGATTCATAGATTTATAGGTTGGAAAAGACCTTAGAGATCATTGAGTCCAACCATCCCTAATCCCCATTAAACCATATCCTCAAGTAGATCATCCACCCTATTCTTAAACACATCCAGGGATGGGGACTCACCCTCCCTGGGCAGCCTATTCCAGTGGCTGACAACCCTTTCAGAGAAGAAATACTTCCTAACATTCAACCTGAATCTCCCCTGACTAAGCTTATGCCCATTTCCTCTTGTTCTATCACCCATCACTAATGTAAAGAGCCCTTCCCCTACCTCCCCACCATCTTTTCTCAAGTATTTATAGGCCGTAATCAGGTCTCCCCTCAGCCTCCTCTTCTCCAGGCTAAACAGCCCCAACTCCCTCAGCCTCTCTTCATAAGTTTTATTTTCCAGCCCCTTGACCAGTTTAGTCGCCCTTCTTTGGACTCGCTCCAGGAGCTCAATATCTCTCTTAAAGCGAGGGGCCCAAAACTGGACACAATATTCCAGGTGCGGCCTCACCAGTGCCGAGTACAGGGGCACTTCCCTGCTCCTGCTGGTCACACTATT